AATGAAAATATCGACATAGTACCGATAAGGTCTAATTTTTTGGTTCTGTGATAAAGAAGTTGTGGGCTGGAAAATAACACATCGCTGAAAATTTCGCATAAACTCTTTTGAAATTCTCTCAAGGCTGTAAAGTCAGTGTCTAGACTGATTCAGCTCAGTTATTATCCGTGTTTGATTCGACCTAACTCTCAGAATGATGCAGCATTGCAGAACCTCTTTAAATGAGTGCAAGAGAGTGATTATTCTTTACTACATCTGTACCGATAAATCATGTATACGAGTTCCGTTTGTGGTCTGAGATAAACTTGAGCCCCAAGGCAAGGAACCTCATTGAGATTAAAATGGTTCACCCGGTATTCAGAAATAAAGGCAACAGCAGTATGAGCGGAAAATATACCAAGTCTAGAAGGAATTAAATGCTCGAGGTGAATTGAGATTTTGGAAGAATATAAGCTTGCGGCAGTGATATAAATGCAAATATGAAAATCACGAAACCTAAGAGAAGGAAGATCCTTATTCAGATATCCTTATTTTAAACACTTCAGGGATTATGACCAGCCATGACAGGTGCACAGGGATTAAACATCTTCACCCCTCATTGTGGGTTGGTGTATAATTATCAGGCGTCTTTGTAGGCAAGTATTTGTTAATAAAAATTTCTGTTTTTGTGATAAAAATTTTATTTAATCTTAAGGTTATAAAAATGTGTGTCGATAATCAAACTCATTTAATCCTAGAACACTAACAATGTGAATATAGTACCCAGCACAAATTTTCCTATTTTTAATTACAATTTTCAGTACCTGATTTTCTTACCTAATTAATGTTTTTTTTTTTCAGATCCTATTAATGTTAATTCAAAGTACAAAATTTGATATGTAAAATATTTCAAATAAAGATTTATATTTACTTTTTATTATATATATTTTCAAAATCGGGTATGATATACCCATGTTTAGTAATGGTGTAACTTTAATTGATGATTAATGTTCTAGGGTTAAAAATTTTATTGTTGACTTGTTTTTTTTTCATAAATATTGTTTAAAAACGCCTGATAATTATGCACCAACCCAATATTTACTTAGTTTTCCAAGTTTAGAGTTAACTGTTATCATTTCTATCTCTCTCCATAATCTTCATTTCTTACCTCCCCTTGCAATCACACAGCGATCTCGTTCAGTAACCCTCTACCTTGAGTGGCTTTTTGGCCTTATATTTGAAGAGTATGAGTAAAAAGTGTCATGTAGGAATCAAGTGTCGCTACCGACCCTTGGGTTTGAACACGGATTGCCAGAGATAAAGCACAGTCGAACTCATCTTGAAATAATTAGATCGCGTGACCGGTAAAGGGAAAATATATATGTGAATTGTCGCGTACTGACGGAGCGTTGTTCGAAGGCTATTATTGTATCTATGACTTACAAAGTCTCTGCTATAAACGGGCATTACAAAAAAAAAAAAGAGATATTTTAGAACACCCTTCGTATTTCATTACTAAGAAGTTATACTCGGGGAGTTTATTTGCTTTATTTTTTTCATGAGAACAGCTCCTTCGTGGGCCCACTCACAGAATGCATTCCTGATAAATAAGAATATTTACTTTTTACCCTCTTCGGTAAAACGTTGTCTTGCTTTACATGCGAAATAGTCTTCTATATTTACCTCTTCATCTTCTTGCGTTCACCCAATATCCCCATTCAATAAAGCTCTACCTCGACTGGCTCTTTAGCTTTAAATTGGAACAAATATGAGAAAAATATTTTAAAGTCCCCTTCGTATTCCATTAGTAAGCAAGAAGTTCCCCACGGGAATTTTCTTCCAAAGAATGGATACTTCGTCGAGTCTAGACTTAATTGTTGCTTTTAGCGTCTAACCTCATAATATTTACTTTTTACCTCTTTTTATGCTCACACAGTATCCACTCAATCAGTGACCTTCTACGTTGAGTGGCTTTTTGACCTTGACTTTAGTAAAAAAAAATTCATTTTAAAGCCAATAGATTCTACGTTCTTGTAGAATTCATTAAGGGAAGTATGTCGACATATTCGAGATATTTTGAGGAGATACAATACCCTTAATAATGAAGAATTGCAAAATTAAACAAAGATTCGTGGAAATAATAACTTCAGTTTTACCGTGATTGGTTGACTCATAATTTCCTATAAGTAAAATACGTTATTACTTTCCGATCATCACAAAATTATAGCATTCCTAAATAGAATATATTAATGAGAATAAAACTCAATTTGTTGCCAAATGCAAATCAGAAAAAACAAGTCATTATTGGTGATTGTTATAACTTTTTTGTTGTTGACTTCATTAATTTTATAGTCTTTTTTACATCAATTTCGTACCGTTTTTTAATCAAAATGTTTACACTTTTGCTATTTAAGATTACCCTTTTATTTGAAAGTTTTGAATCAGAAAGACCTTAATTGACTGCATTAATAATATATATGTGTGGAGGGTGTATGTGTGTGCATGTGTGTGTTTGCTTGTATGTGGGGTGTGTATTACGCGAATATATATATATATATATATATATATATATATATATATATATATATATATATATATATATATATATATAGTGAGGAAATTGTATGCCAAAGTGTAAAACGTTTACTTGTGACGCATTTCTCCCTACAGGAATTCAGCGGACTAAATTTGTTATGTCGGTAGGATTAAACATTCACACGGCGGAGAGGTGCTGGAAATTTTAGATTTTGTTTTCTTGTTTTTTTTCTTTTTGTTATCAGCCGAATTCATTTAGAGTTTTTTGTTTTTTTTTCTTTTTCTTTCCATCATTTTGTAAGTAGGTATTTCACACTTTGATATTAGGAAATCTGCCAGGAATGGTCAAATGTTGTAAGAGCCACGGTGCAAATTTACTGTAGATGACCCTGTGATTAAGGCATTCTCTAGACATTTACGTCATAGTGAATTATGTCTCCTTTGATCAGAGTAGCATTTTTATTTCAAACACAGGAAAAACCGCAAGGAAATATTATGCGACAAGAAAAGGTCACATTTTACAAAATAAAACAACAAATGCGTTGGTTTTCCACAGAAACGAGACTGACCATAACTGGTTTCTTTTATTCCGCAACCCATTTGCAAGAAGGAAATTTAATTCAGACAATTTCTTCCTAAGATCTGCTCACAAAATTATAAGAAGATGTATCACCGATTCATACAAACTTAACCTCTTCGTCTAGGGTAAACAGTTATATATTCTACCTATCCTCATAAGATGTACTTCATATTTCCATCTCCTATAATCAAAGAAAATCAGATTTTGTAATCGTTTAAATTTAATACCTCTCGGGCATTTTATTCGATGAGGTAGCTTTGCATCTCCAACCAGACGTGGTTCGATCCCAGGGTGACGCTTCTTCCAGTCAAACCCTTGTGGCTTAAGAAATAACGTTTTGGCCAGGTCGTCACTTACGAAATAAAACCATGAACAGATTGCAGAAATAAGAAAATTTTGTTTGGTGGCAATCTTCTGTTGTAAACGATGGGGACAGAGATGAAGTGGAGAGCGAACAATCTAACCGGTGTGTTTTCATTCTCGTTTCTTTTCTGCCTGCTCTCTGTTGGTCTATCTGTTTTTGGTACTAGTGACCACTGCGTTCTTTGTCTTGTTATCGTTGTCTAAAAAAGAAAAAATCTCAAAAACACACAGTCTGACTTCACTTCTTTCCTCTTTGTCAGGGTCGTTTGACATGGGTTTTGTGAGGTCCACTTCACTTATGTGATGATCTTCAGGACTTTGGTGATGTCAACGAACACTCGTTACCAATTTTGTAATGTCAACAAATACTCGTTGTCACTTTCTCAATGCTCGTTGTAGTAGAGACTTTGTAATCGCAGATACAACTATACTAACGCCGTTGAACAATACTGATGTCAGTCACCTTCGAATATCACTCGCACTAATAGTACTTGCTCGATAATACATTCTGGAATAGTAACCACTGAATAGTGATCCGAATAGTAACCCGTATAGTGGTCAGTATAGAAAATTGTATAATGAATAGTATAGAGAATAGAGGATAGTGTAGAAATAGTGATCACTTAGACACCACGCTAATTCCCATATATACAATTCCTTTGCCATCATATGATTTACTTGGGATTACTTGGGATTGCATATGTTTGCTCTTTGGTGATATGTGTTCAAACTCAAATGTCGGCAAAGACACTTTATTCTTATATAACAAGTCCAATAATCGTTTGAAACCTTTCCAATTGTTTCCATTTAAAAAGATATCGGCTGACACTGGTATCGCTAGATCAAACAATAGTGTAAAATATCTTGGTAACATCAGCATACGATTTTTTTCTATAATTACTAATTGAAGAACTTAAATCACACATGAGAGTCCTTCTCCTTATCTTATGAAAATTGGAAGCATCAATATTACTGCGATTGGAGACCCTTCGAAGCTAAATCTTGTTAATCGTTTAGGGGTTGAAAACGATTGATCGAATGCAAAACTTTGCATTCTTTAGACCTAGATAGTAACACCCATTCAAATAATGAAGAATCTGACGTTGCTTACCTTCGATATCTACATGGAGTTTGAAAATGACTCCTCTCTAAGCGTGCGTGTGAATGTCACATGTGCGAAGAAGATAACACTTTTCTAAACTTGATATTTTTAATTTGAAAGGACGACATTTTTCTGCACGTGTGTCATTACATTAAGTAGAACTTTATTTGTTAATCTTGGTTTTCTTTACGCCGAAAAATATTTTTTTTCCTGTGCATGTTTTTCTCTTTTCACTTATGTCTTTATATGATGGATTAAATGCGTGAATATTTGATATTTACCACAAGAAAATATTAAAGAGTCTTCGACGGCTCTTGACAACAGGCCAATTTGCAGGCGGAATGTTAAGATGTTAGCAAAAATACAAAGAGAAAGTTAAGTATTTATTGCTTCAGAAGATAAGTAAACGACCGGCTTATACACAAGTATAAATGTTAAAATTTATGCAAAGTGAATTACAGAGACAAATAGAGAAAAAACAGAGGGGACAAAAATAAGAGAGGAATAGAGACATAGAGAAAAGAAAAGAGGGAGAAAAAAGACAGAGTAAAGGATTAAAACTGAGTGAAAGAGAAAAACAAGTAAGGGGAGGTGGAAAAACCAAAGATAAAAGAATTAACAGAAAGGGTGAGAGTAAGCGAGAGAGATAGAGAGAGAGAGTAAAAGCGGGGAGAAAATATAGCAGTTATAGACGGCGTCAATTATAGAGGGGAAAGAGACAGAGAAAAAATAAGAAAGAGTGAGAGAAGCAGAAAAAAGAAAACAAAAATAGAGAAGAAATAGGGAGGATGAACAAATAGTGTGCGTATAAGAGAGAGAGAGAGAGAGACAGAGAGAGAGAGATAGAGAGAGAGGGCGAAATTGAGATAAAAAGTGTGCATGTTGGAAAGTAAGTCTGGGGAGAAAATGAGAGAAAAGGATAGAGTGAATAACAATAGGAGGGGAAATGAAAGACAGAGAAAAGGAGAAGTTGGAAAAGAGAGAAAGAATAAAAACAAGACAAAAAGAGCAAACGAGAGAAGAAATTGACAGAAGAAAATAAAAGAACACAAGGAGAGCGAGAAATAATAGAAAGAAAAGAAAACTGAAGAGAGAGACAGACAGACAGTAGTAAGGAGAAAAAAAAAAGAATACTGGAAGAAAAAGGAAAAGGAAATGAAAGAAACATTGAGAGAGGGAATGAAAATTGCAGAAAAGAAAAACTTGAGAAGTGAGAAGACGTTACAAATATAGATGAGTAAATAGATGAATGCAAGATTGTCTGAAGCTACATAACCGAATTCTACAGAAAGCCAATATCAGGACCCGAATGGACAGCTATTGGCCGGAGTTACTTGTGGACAATTACGCACATGCCTCTTAAGGCGCATTACGGGAGTCCGGCTACGGCAAACGAAGGCCTTCGACAAAATTACGCACTTAACGCACTTACCTTCTAAGGCGCATTACGGGAGTCCGGCTACGGTAAACGAAGGCCACCGAACTTAGGCACTACTTCGGGCTAGTGGTCCCATGACCACTGTCCAGGCACGACGCACGTCCGGCTACGGCAAACGAAGGCATTCGACGAACTTAGGCATTTAACGATTCTACGGGACTTACGCACATGCTTCGTAATGCGCATTACGGGAGTCCGGTTACGGCAAACGAAGGCCTTCTACGGGACTTACGCACATGCCTCTTAAGGCGCATTACGGGAGTCCGGCTACGGCAAACGAAGGCCTTCAACAAAATTACGCACTTTACGCACTTACCTCCTAAGGCGCACGACGGACGTCCGGCTACGTCAAACGAAGGCATTCGACGAACTTAGGCATTTAACGATTCAATGGGACTTACGCACATGCCTCGTAATGCGCATTACGGGAGTCCGGCTACGGCAAACGAAGGCCTTCTACGGGAATTACGCACATGCCTCTTAAGGCGCAACAGTGATGGCTTGCTTATATCTGCGTTTTGAATATAACTCCAAAGCGACCTGAATTCACCAAAGGGTCTGAGGAATTCTGAAGCGGCGATATGCCTCCCACAGCCAGCTTTTCGACCGGCTAATACCATCCGTAGAGGAACGCTTAGTCCACGTGCGACATGCGTTCCTGTCCTGTCTGTCCTACTACTGCCTCTTAGAATCCAAGCAGCCAAGTTTAATATAGCTAATACCAAAAGTAAATGACGATTTCGTTGATACCGTTTTTATTAATAGTGGTGATCCCGAGACGAAACAGAACGCAACAGATTATTTATGTGTGACGTGCGTGTTTCCGCATGAATAATTTTTGTCGAACCTGAAATCATTCCGTCAGATAATTGGTAAGGCCCATTAATCTTTGTCTCGCTGGGTCCTTTTTCCCAACAATTAGAATGGAGCATTTTGCTGAATTTATTCAGAGCTTCGCATCAGAGCTTAAAAATATTAACGACTCGTTGAGGATGCACAAATATCCCAGTGAGACACAAACTTTAGACAGAAGAAAAAGTGAGTTTGGAAAATGCGTAGCAGAAATGCGGGCGTTTTTTTTTTATGCTGGTCAATTACTCAGAGGACCAAAGGCTGCGGACGGCTCTGCAAAAGATAGAGATGCTATAGGAAAATACACCCAAAGGCTGATACAGAACAATCCGAGGATGACTTTGGAGATACTAAAGTCGGCCTTTGCAGAGTACTTCGAAGAGGCAGTAGACACACACATATGTTTTAGGCAGCTGTCTAATATTCGACAGGGTAGAAATGAGGAAATACAATCATACATAGAAAGGTTATTAAAATTAGCCGAGAGGGCTTACGTGGAGGCAGACCGTGGGGATCTGATAGTAGAATAACAATATTTTTTTTTTTATGGATGGGTTAGATAATGTAGATATTAGGATGGTGGTCTTCCTAGAAAAGGCTAGAGTCTGCGTATTAAAATGCACTAGCAGAGAGTAAGTTCAGAAATAGTGTTGGATTAGGCTTACGTGGAACACGTGCACGAATCCTTGGAGGTTTTCACGCTAGAAGAAGGCCCAATCTAGAAGCTAATCACAGGAGAGCAAGGAATACCAGAGAAATCGGATTTGCTCTACCAGATATAAACAAAAGAAATAGATATATCTAGGTAGGAAGTTATAGACAACCTATGGATATAGTTAACAGAGGAAGACGTGTAGTTATCTGCTGGGAATGCGGTGTTGGATATCACATTACGATTGGTGTCGGGAAACTGGGAACGTCCGGTCGGAAGGGGCCTAACGAACGGAGAAAGTAACTACCGACATATGTAGTCAATAATATAGGCTCACCTATTTCAGTTATGGTTAGGTTAGGTTGACCTTCATATAGGGCTCTGATTGTGAGGGGAGCAGAGGTATCCGTCATACATAGGAGAGTTTACAGCATGCTGCAAATTGAAGCCGAAATATTGAAGAGTGAGGTACGTCCTAAAACGGCGAACGGCGCGCCTCTACAAGTGGATGGGCACGCAAGAATACAATTTAAGATTAGCAGCCAGCTCGCACCGCATATTTTTTACGTAGTGAGGAACATAAATAGAAATAGAAATCTGGGACGGGACTGGCTACAGCAAAACGGAGTAAGGATTTATTTCGATTTAGGAGCACTACATCTAGGAGATATGTATGCAGCATCAGAAAAAGAGAGGCACTAAATGTGCCTCTCTTCTTCTGATGCTGCATACATATCCCTAGCTAGGATAGGTCGTCCTGTAACGGTAAAGCCCCAGTTCACCTACTTGTGTATAACAAATTTCGGAATGTGAGACGATAATTAACGAACCCATATGTGGTTGAACAATTAAAATCGGGATTTTTCTTTTCGATAGCGACTACGGTCGTAACAGTAGTACCTACCGTTACGACCGCACTCGGGCAGAATAGCGCAAATCATACTTATTATAAAACCCAGGTTGTGTGTGTGTGTGTGTGTGTGTGTGTGTGTGTGTGTGTGTGTGTACGTTTATATATTGGATCGGATTTCCTATATTTTTCAACCAATTTCAACAAAACTTCACAGGATTACGTAAAATTACCTTGCGGTGGTTGCGACAGCGCCAACAATTGGAATAAACAGAATTGTTTCTGCACAAAATCAATTTGAAAACACTATTAAGAGGCATCACGGGAATGAAAGGGGGACAACTCATATCGAATTATACTTATTATAAAACCCAGGTTGTGTGTGTGTGTGTGTGTGTGTGTGTGTGTGTGTTTGTTTATATATGGGATCAAATTTCCTACATTTTTCAACCTTATTTCAACAAAACTTCACTTTTCTTTTGGCAGGTAGTGTTTCTTATTGTCTTGCACACTTTTTTCTTTATTTTTATATTCAGAATGCTTTAAAAATTCTATTTACAAGACAATTGTTTATAATAAAATTCTATTCAATCGGGGTAGACTCATAACGATTGAAAACAATGTTTTTGTTTGAGTTTGGGTTTGACCAATTCGTAAAAAAAAAAACAAAAAAAAAATCTAATTAAGATATGCATGTCCGTCAACCTTAAACAATAATCTTTGTCAATTTTATTTTTCAATCTTTATGATGGTGGATACTTGATCTATCTCTTACTGTTACATCCCCGGGCAACGCCGGGATCTACTGCTAGTTGTCAATAATACGAACCAAACAGTTACTTTGATGCAAGGGTGACAGATATCTAGGGTTCATCAGGTAGAATGTAAATATCATCTCCCTGTTAGAAGCGGAACAACATCAGGAGAGAATTAGAACAGGTGAACGTGCCAGAAGAATTTAAGGTACCGATAAATTAGCTGCTAAAGAAAAATACGAATTTATTTTCAATGAATGACAAAGATCTACGTAAGAGAGATGCAGTGAAAACGCGTATCAACACCGACGAACACGCGCCTATGAAAACACGCCCATATCGTACAAATAAAACTAGTAGATGAGGCTTTAGAGGTAATGTTAGAGGCGGGGATTGTAGAAAGATCTAAAGGTCCTTGGGGTTTGTTGTATTGACCTTTCTTCTGGGGTTCTCTTGGGCGACCGTCTCTCTTGTCTTCTCTTGTCTTCTCTCAGTCGCGTGGCGAAATGGTTATAGTCAAATGTCAAATGAGGAAGTCAGAAGAGATATACAATTCTATAAAAAAATAATAATTTGCTAGACTATTACATAACAGATTCCCAGTGGTGCTCGTAGAGTAGGAGGTTGGTAGTAAAGATTATTTTGTAGATTTTAGGTCAGTAAATAAAATTACTAAGAGCAATGTACGCCCACTCCAGGTTATTGATGATATCTTAGCAGCTTTTGGCACAACTAGGTACTTAAAATCTGGATACTGGCGGGTAGAGCTACGTTCACGTGTCACCGTGGTTTATTCCACGTTAACGTTATGCGATTTTGACTGGTGAACGCGCCCGGTATGTTTCAGGAATTAATGTCCAACTTTTTGCAGGAAAAGAACGATCCTATTTGGTCGATATTTCAGTGTTTTTCTGATTCCATAAAACGCCATTTAGAACACATTCAGATGGTTTTTAACACTTCAAAGAAACACAATTTGAAGTTAGAACAATCTAAATGTTAAGGGGTCCACCCCTTTTTATACAAGTGGACTCGCTCAGTGTGTACTTGTACTGCTGCCGGTGAATAACCGGGAGTCAGAAAGTGAGAGTCTGAGGTAACCGCTTTGTATGAGTCACAGTTGCGAGCACGTAGACTCAGAAGGAAGTCATACTTCGATACTGAATTTCTCAGACTGTATATATATATTATTATTGCTACTAACCGCATTTCTGGAACTACTAACCGTATTACCAATTTTATTATTACGTCAATACATTTATTTGCTATATTTCATTCCTGCGTTTGTCATTCGTTTGAGACTGGATTTCATCCCGGAATCCACAGCACTAAATATTTTTTAATCAGAGACCCAGTACTTAGGATTTAAGCTCAGTGCGACGGGAATCCAACCAGATACGGTTAATATAACAGCTATACGCTCTGTAGCTACAATCAACCCTGTTAATCAGTGTCGGGGGTTCATTGGTGTCTGCTCCTACTACCAAAGATTTTTCCAGGGTTAACAGGTAATTAGATTAACTATGAAACATGCGAGGTTTAGGTTGGGGGGATGAAGACAGGAATCGTTTGATCACTTGAAAGATATGATGTCCGAATCGGTGACGCTAGTGTACCCACATCCGAACAACGAGTATAAACTTTATACGGATTCATTGGATTTAGCGATGGAGGTTACATAACGCAGCAGATATATGATGACCTCCCGGGTGTTTTCTTTCTAAGGGGATACGTGAAGGGAGTGGTCTATGTACCCCTCTTCCTGCTAGCATTGATGATCTCAAGCAGAAAATCACTTCCGCACTGGATAATGTTACAAAAGACATGCTACAGGGTGTTTGACGTGTGCCGTGTCACAAGCAGTGCACATATTGAACCCTTATGAAATCGGTCCCATAATAAACGTAGCATGTTCAACACCTAAACTGTTGAATTTCATTGTGCTAAGTATTTTCGAGATAATTGCTTTTAAAATGATGTCAAATTTTTCTTTGGTAGTCGTAAAGGATTTTCTCTTCTTTGCTCTCTCTCTCTCTCTCACTATATATATATATATATATATATATATATGTGTGTGTGTAAATGTGTGTGCGTGTGTGTGTGTGCAGCAAACTTTCTTTCAAACATAAATAATTTTTCGTTCAATATGACAGTCAAGGAAAGTTTGATGAATTTTTTATTGAGTTTCTCATGTATTCTTAATTTTTTTCCGTTTGGTAGGCGTAAAGGTGTGTAAAAATTGTTCTTGATGTC